TTTGGGGTTTTTCGAATTTATTTCTCACTTTTTTTTTTTTTTCGTCAAATTCCTATAGGGATATCAACACATCTATAGAATTGTACTGCTACCATTATCTAGCAGAGACCAGAGAGCAAGACAGTTATGCAGTGTAAATGCAATCCAATATGAATGTCACTAAGAGTACTGTCCCTAGACTAATTTGGAACAAAGCCATTTGGGGTAAGTATGTACAAATATTAACATATATACTACATGAGCCAACATGATATGTTTGAATCCATTAGCAAGAAATGTGGAAGAAAACTTCCAGAATTATTCTGGAGAGTTGCTGATTAAAAGACTTGTGCAATTTATGTGCAACAAAATTTGTTTTAAAGGCAACATATTTGATTTTATTATCCCTATATATTAAAGTGTGACTCATAAAGAGTAATATCAAGTCAATAATTTCTCCCAATCAATTTTTTTTTGTCTAATCACAAGTATAATGAAGGAGTTGATGCAGAGACTGGAAGAGTGATGCCCTTTGCTGCCAAAGTATTAAAGTGCATAAAAGACTGAATACTTTATTGATAAAACTCAACCCATGCAATTAAAAAATTTCCTATATTTTATTTAAGCAACTAGACCACTTAGGTCATATATAAAATTCTGAATATACTAAGCATTTTGTTGTTTTCATAAAACTCCATAAAAATTGAGTGCAATTAGTATGATTTCCCCCAATCAGGATCTAATCCTTCATTCAAACCTTTAAAACTTTAATCACATATGACATTACCATTTTGCATTAGATAAAAAAGATGCCCAGAATATCACACATCCAACTTTATCAGTGTATCACTTACATTTATTCTTTAGATACATACTCACATCACATTACTCCTAAGAAAATAAAAATCTAGAATACACAATCCTAACACAGTTCTTTAATGCATCTTAATTTGGATCTCCATCCACTGAATTTTCACTGTCAATGAACTCTACGTGTGTAAAGGGGAAGTGTCCAACCTTTCCATTAAGTTCACCTTCCCACTGCCCATTGATGTTCATCTTTGTTACTTTAATAACATCACCGACCTCCAGTCTAAGAGCAGTTTTATCATAAGCATTGGGAACTCGGGCTTGCTTCACTCGTGCATAGGCCGGTAATTTTCGCTGCAAAAGAAGGAGAATGTTAATTTCCTGGTACTAATATTCGCTTTATAACTAATCAATACAGATAACATGGATATTAGAAAAATTTATTACATAAGAATAATTTATATTTTAGTGTTAATCAGAGGCAATCTGTGGTAGACATTGCTCAACTCTCTGTTTATATACAGTACGAGGAAAGGAACAAACAACTTCCACAATACAGTAACTCCTCAATATAGTGAACTTCTGAAATAACAGACAAAAACCCACTTGGTAAATTGTGCTATTAACTCTTTTAATATTAACATTCATTGTAAGTATACAATAGAGTAATTTACTGCAGATTTTATACATAATTCTGACTTACGGACACCTCCAAAAAAAAACCCTAATACTCTGTTATAATGAGATTTTAGTGTATGTTAATAAGGATGAAAAATCCTGTAGTCAAGTCACACACTCAGGCCATGAGAGCACAGGTAGTTTGCTCAATTAGTATATTGTAATATAATTAAAGACATTTTATATAAAGTAAATACTGTAATTAACTAGGTCTTGTATCGATAAAATTCCAAACTTGTCAGTTATATGACTAGTTAAGTATCAGTGAAAACCTGGTTACTGACAAATGCTGGAGGACTCATGTTCCAAAAAAAAGTCTATCAAATTTCATTAACATTAATTCCCTAGGCACTGTTAGAATCATATGGGTTTAGTGCTTTCCATGACAATAGTGCTTTCCATGAGAATGGTAATAATAACAGAGCAGAAAATACTCTACAAAGCTGCTATTGCTAAACTAACGTCATTTTCTTTTCTCGTTACTTCATGAGAATACAACAGCAGAGCAGCAAGAGCCTTGCTTTTCTGTAAAGCAGAAGCATCCTGGTGATGGCTTAGCAAAGACACACAACACTAATATACATGGAGACCCATGATGACATAAATCAACTGAGGAAATCAACCAGGCTTTTTTTGCCAACCAAGAGGACTGCCTGTTGTTACCCAACTAATGACCCCACTGCCGAATCATCTAAAGCAGCAATCAATGGCCAAGGGCTAAGTCATTAAAATATGAATTAGAAACCAACTCAAGACTCAGAAGAACACAGGTGAGAGAAGTACTTAAGTACTGCTGCAACATCTCATACTGGTAGCCTAGAGAATGTATCCCTCACCTCTCATCAAACAACAACAAACATGGATCCTACCCCACACGATGATGACTGCTCCTTTCTTGAATTTGATGCTAGTAAGTTTATTTACTTCTACTTACACTTAGGTCACACTAAACATACATGTACACGTTTATTTATACACACTCATCTGAGTTTTCTTTGATTTTATCTTAGTTCTTGTTCTTATTACTTTTCCTTTTATATCCATGGGAAAGTGGAATAAGAATCTTTCCTCCGTAAGCCATGCGTGTTGTAAAAGTCAACTAAAATGCCGGGAACACTGGACTAGTAACCCCTATTCCTATAATAATTACTACAAAGAATAAGAAGAAAATTGTCAAAGTGGAAGTCTGAATGTGCATGGATGTTGTGCGAATGATAAGAAAGAGATGATTGTGGATGTTATGAATGTGAAGAAGCTAGATGTCCTGGCTTTAAGTGAAACAAAGCTGAAGGGGTGGGTGAGTTTCAGTGGAGAGGAATAAATGGGATTAGGTCAGGGGTTTCTAATAGAGTTGGAGCTAAAGAAGGAGTAGCAATAATGTTGAAGGATAAGCTATGGCAGAAAAAGAGGGACAATAAATGTATTAATTCAAGGATTATGTGGAGTAAAATAAAAGGTTGGATGTGAGGAGTGGGTTACAGTAAGCATATATGCACCTGGGGAAGAGAGAAGTATAGAGGAGAGAGAGAGAGATTTGGGAAATGTTGAGTGAATGCGTGGGGAGTTTTGAACCAAGTATGAGAGTACTTGTGGTGGGGATTTTAATGCTAAAAATGGGGAAAAATGTTGTATAGTAGTAGGTAAATTTGGGGAGCCAGGGGTAAATGAAAATGGGGTGCCTTTAATTGAGCTATGTGTAGAAAGAGGTTTGGTAATAAGTAATACATATTTTATGAAGAAGAGGATAAATAAATATACAAGGTATGATGTAGCACGTAATGAAAGTAGTTTGTTAATGTATTGGTGGATAAAAGGTTGATGGGTATACTCCAGGATGTACATGTTTATAGAGGGGCAACTGATATATCAGACCATTATCTAGTTGTAGCAACAGTTAGAGTAAGAGGTAGATGGGATAAGAGGAAAATGGCAACAACAAGTAAGAGGGAGGTGAAGGTGTATAAACTAAGGGAGGAGGAAGTTCAGGTGAAAATATAAGCAACTATTGGCAGAAAGGTGGGCTGGTGCAGGTATGAGTAGTGGGGGGGTTGAAGAGGGTTGGAATAGTTTTAAAATTTGCAGTATTAGAATGTGGGCAGAAGTTTGTGGTTAAAGAGGGTGGGTGCAGGAGAAAAGAGGAGTGATTGGTGGAATGATGAAGCAGAAGTGTTATAAGAAGAGTAGAGTATATGGAGAGTAAAAGAAAGGTGAAGAGAGTGGTGAGAGAGTGCAAAAGGAGAGCAGATGATATAGTGGGAGAGGTACTGTCAAGAAATTTTAATGAAAATAAGAAAAAAATTTGGACTGAGTTAAACAAGTTAAGAAAGCCTAGGGAACAAATGGCTTTGTCAGTTAAAAACAGAGTAGGGGAGTTAGTAGATGGGGAAATGGAGATTTTGGGTAGATGGCGAGAATATTTTGAGGAACTTTTAAATATCGATGAAGAAAGGGAGGCGGTAATTTCATGCACTGGCCAGGGAGGAATACCATCTTTTAGGAGTGAAGAAGAGCAGGATGAGAGAGTGGGGGAGGTGCGTGAGGCATTACGGAGGATGAAAGGAGGTAAAGCAGCTGGAACTGACGGATCATGACAGAAATGTTGAAAGCAGGGGGGGATATAATGTTGGAGTGGTTGGTATTTTTGTTTAATAAATGTATGAAAGAGGGAAGGTACCTAGGGATTGGCAGAGAGCATGTATAGTCCCTTTATATAAAGAAAAGGGGGATAAAAGAGATTGTAAAAATTATAGAGGAATAAGTTTACTGAGTGTACCAGGAAAAGTGTACAGTAGGGTTATTATTGAAAGAATTAGAGGTAAGACAGAATGTAGAATTTGCAGATGAGAAAGGAAGTTTTAGAGTGGGTAGGAGATGTGTAGATCAAGTGTTTACATTGATGCATATATGTGAGCTGTATTTAGATAAAGGTAGGGAAGTTTTTATTGCATTTATGGATTTAGAAGGGCATATGATAGAGTGGATAGGGAAGCAATGTGGCAGATGTTGCAAGTGTATGGAATAGGTGGCAAGTTACTAAATGCTGTAAAGAGTTTTTATGAGGATAGTGAGGCTCAGGTTAGGGTGTGTAGAAGAGAGGGAGACTACTTCCCGGTAAAAGTAGGTCTTAGACAGGGATGTGTGATGTCACCATGGTTGTTTAATATATTTATAGATGGGGTCGTAAGAGAAGTAAATGCTAGGGTGTTCGGGAGAGGGGTGGGATTAAATTATGGGGAATTAAATACAAAATGGGAAGTGACACAGTTACTTTTTGCTGATGATACTGTGCTTATGGGAGATCCTACAGAAAAATTGCACAGGTTAGTGGATGAATTTGGGTGTGTGTGTAAAGGTAGAAAGTTGAAAGAGAACATAGAAAAGATAAGGTGATGAAGTATCAAATGATTTTGATAAACAAAAATTGAATATCAAATTGGGAGGAGAAATATGAAGAAGTGAATATTTTCAGATACAGTGGACCCCCGGTTAACGATAATTTTTCACTCCAGAAGTATGTTCAGGTGCCAGTACTGACCGAATTTGTTCCCATAAGGAATATTGTGAAGTAGATTAGTCCATTTCAGACCCCCTAAACATACACGTAAACACGCTCTTACATAAATACACTTACATAATGGTCGCACTCGGAGGTGATCGTTATGCGGGGGTCCACTGTAATTTGGAGCTGACGTGTCAGCGGATGGATTTATGAAGGAAGAGGTTAATCATAGAATTGATGAAGGAAAAAAGGTGAGTGGTTGCATTGAGGTATATGTGGAGGCAAAAATGTTATCTATGAGCAAAGAAGGAATGTATGAAAAGTCGAGAGTATCCAAACACTCTTTTATGGGTGTGAACTTGATTGTAAATACCTGCAGCACGAGGAAGTGGTTGGAGGCAGTGGAGAAGTTCCTATTAAGGGGAATGTGTGGAGTAAAATATTATGCAGAGAAGATTTGGAGTGTGGAAAATTAGGAGAAATTTGGAGTTAATAAATGTATTAGTCAGAGGCTTTGAAAGACGGTTTGGTTGAGGGGTTTAGTCATATAGGGAGAATGGATCAAAGTAGAATGACATGGAGAGCATGTAAATCTGTAGGGTAAGGGAAGGCAAGGGTAGGGGTCGTCCTCAAAAAGGTTCTAGGGAAGGAGGGGGTAAGAGGTTTTGTGGGTGAGAGATTTTTGGGACTTCCAGCAAGCGTGCAATGAGCGTGTTAGATAGGAGTGAGTGGAGACAATGGTATTTGGTATGCGCTAAAAAATTTTTTTTTTTTTTGAGCTGTTGGAGTGTTGAGCAGGGTTAATAGTTTGTGAAGGGATCGGGAAACCGGTTATTTTATATAACCGTACTGGCGTCCTGGAAATGGGAAAGTACAATGGCTGCACTCTAAAGGAGGGGTTTGGGATATGGCAGATTGGAGGGATATTGGTGTATTTTTTAAATACGTATATACTTCTAAACTGCTAGTAGTAAGTTGGTAGACAGCACAACCGCACCAGGGAGGTACTACCGTCCTGCCAAGTGAGTGTAAAACGAAAGCCAGTAATTGTTACATGAATGGTAGGATTGCTGGTGTCCTTTTTTCTGTCTCATGAACATGCAAGTTTTTCAGGTACGTCTTGCTACTCTCTACTTCACAACTTAGGTCCCACTACACATACATGTACAAGCACATA